AAGGGACAAAATTTATTTTCAAAATAGGTTGAGAGTTTTAAGTCGGAATAGGCTTTAATATCCTGGAAATATGTTGACAATAGTATGGAAATATATAGAGGGCGTTTCATTTTCAAAATAGGTTGAGAGCTTTAAGTTCCGACTATTAATAGGCTTTAATATCCTGGAAATATGTTGACAATAATTATTAACTTAAAATTATGGAAATATATACAGGGAGTTTCATTTTTTGAGGTTTATAAATTTTTTTACTACTTATCCAGTATAGCTTCAAGAAAAATAATAAAACATACCAATTAGGTAGTTAAACCTTTTTTTGCAGTATTATAATATATTTTATAATAATGTTGAAATTTTGCACACTTGACAATACTGAATTGCATAATTTATTTACTAAACTGAAACTGAAAATTAAATAAATAATTGCGGGAAAAAATACAGAAATCAATTTTTTTTTTTTTAAACCCATTGTTTTATTTTGACAGAGTTGATAAAGCTAAGATTATTAGTTAATCGATCTTACTCTTTGGGTTATCAAAACAGACATTTTGTTCCGCCATATTGAATTTTTTGAATTTGTGAAAAATATTTCTTTAAGTTTACAAACCTACCTAATAGATTTTTATTGACATCGGGATAAGAGTTATAGCCAATCAAAAATTAAGGTGGCCGCCATTTTGATCTGCCATGTTGGGGTTTAAAAAAAAACTAAACAAGTCTTTCTGTTGTTGTACGTAAGTCGCCTGCCAAATTTCATCAAAATTGAATCAATACTTTTTGAATTATGCTGACCAAAATAATTTAATACATTGGTATTGTGCAAAAATGACGTGTTAACTGCATTTAACATTATATTCAGGGATTTACGGAATAGCAAATATTAGCAATTTTTTTTTACGGTTTCATAATAAACGATGATTGGTCATTATTCTGTAATGAACTATTCATTTCGGAAACGCCCGGAACACAACTATAACCTCTGCCAAAATAAGCAAAAATTAAAAGAAAACTTCTAATTTGCGATACTGACAAACAACGCTGTATATAAAATCAATGGACAAATTAAATTAGTATGTGCCATTAAGGTAAGAATCTAATGGCTTACCTAAATATATTTTTACCAAAAAACTGGAAAAGTTCAATCTTCGCTTTTCCTGAAATGGCTGTGAAGTTTTGAAAATAAATTTAGAGTAACTATGACAGCAAAGCGTTCAATCAACACTGATATCTTTGACATGCTATCACCGCCCGTTTTAAGTGACAGCCTACTAGTTTTGCTTGCGCTAGTTTAAGCAATGTATTTAGTTTAATTTTGCATCGGATTTCTAACAAAATTAACAATGTATGTTTTTTCCTTTTTGTCCCTTCGATAGACATCCATACTCCAGTGTGCGATGCTCGCTGACTTGACGTGTTGACCAACAACCGACATACAAGCATTTCCAGGGCCGGCGCAGTGGTTTCTACAGCCCGCCTGGGTTTCTCAAATAATAAATCTAACGTTTCGCCGGCTTTGGACATGCCACAGCGCCGTCGGAGCCCAAAGTATGGCTGGACAGCCACACTCCACAAGTGGAGCACAACATGGAGTCTGGGTCTAGCAGGCTGGAGCGACGGCGGACGTACCCCTCGTCCATGAAAAGATTTTGAGGCTCGTTCTCATCTTGGGTTTCAATACCCATATAGTGCTTGGCGCGCTGCTCGGACTTTGCGATTTTAGAACCGATTCTCGAAGACATTTTGGACGATTTGCTGTTTTCACTGTGACGCTCGGATTTGAACTGGTGCCTTGTTGGCGCGTTTGGCTGCTTATATACGCGAAGGGCCTCCTAGATAAATTTAAAAAAAACATAAACATATTGATGTTTACAATGCATTGCATCTAGAATTGTAATAGTGCTAAATTAAGCTGAACTTTAATGAAAATTAAAAACATTTTAAAGATGATAGTTCAATTAACTAATTTAACCGAAATGGTTCTTTTTATACAATTAAACTAAAAATCATACAAAAATATTAATTATTTTAATTAAAATCCAAAACTTTTATTCAACTTTTTGAGAAAATTAGCTAATTTTTTTCGTAATTTTGTATGATTTTTATGTACATACATATAATAATAATAATAATAATAATATTGGGTCTTTATTTTTCAATTAGTACATACAAGATATTTATAATTAAACAAAAAAAAACAAAAAATAATAAATCCTAAATGTACATATGTAAAAGAAAAAATGCCGAAGATCAGTATCGAGTACAAAAGTGTACTCTTACTGTTATTAACAGTAATATAAGTAATACATAATAATTTAGAATAATATATATGAATAATATTCATTGAATATGTATATACCTTTAATATTTATAAATAGTAATATACAGGGTGTATATGTATATAAAGTATTTTTTACAGTCTTAAAACAATTTAAAAAAATTACCCCCTTACTATAGTGATGAAATTTCAGGAACGCACTGTCAAAATTTTACCCTTTCTATACCCAAAGGTGTAGCGGTTTGGTTGGGGTGTTGCAGACATGTAATTTTATATATTATATTTATAGATGTATACAGGGTGTCCCAAAAGTCATAGACAGCAGGGGTGGTTTAGTGATAAAATTAAAGACGAAAAGTCCTTTGGGGTTTTTAATTAGTTTATAAATAGAGTAGACAATAGAAAATAAAACGTTTATTTTAAACGCATTTCTTGCATGTTTTCGCACCATAAACAAAAACAAAGCAATGAAATCAATCTATTCAGTCGCCAAAGCCATCAATAGAAAATCCTTAGAATTTCCATTTTGAAAATATAAGATTTAAAAATATTGTCAAATTTTGGAAAATTTTAAAATTATGAAAGAAATTCCAACTTTAAAAATAAACAAAATTTCCAAATTTTGGAATTATTATAATTTTTAATACTCAGAAAATCTCAACAAATTTTCGCAACATTTGAATATTGAAAATTCTGAATTTTGGAAAGTAGTAAAACTTTAAATTTAGGTTATTTTCGGTTTTTTTCTTAATTTCTTTTGGCAAAAGTTAAAAATATATGGGTGATTCTACAAAAGTTGGACAACTTGATGTCATCAGTCAATAGAGTAGGTATTTTAATATTTTTTGTAAATATATTTTAGTATATTACAAAAGATCCAGGTTTCTTTAACTTGTCCACCCAATTTTAATGTATTTTTTCAAAAGCACGTTTGTAGAAAAACATAATAAATATTCAAAACATCAGTACCTTGGCGTGTCACAACTCCTGAATCAAATATTTGATTGATTTTATTTTAAAATATATTCAATTTATCTTAAATTTTTCAATTTCACTACAAACTATAAAACATTAAATAGTGTATTTTTCATATTTTATCATAGATTCGAATAATAGCAACTTTTAAAAAATTAATAATCTTTGTACTCACTTTTACCCGTCAGTTCTGTGTCCAATGTTAAAATTCAAAATTCCTGCGAAATATTGAAGTTTAAACGTCAAGTCCTCGTTTTAACTCAAGTGTTGGTAAAAAATTACCTATAGAGCCATCTTGAAAACAATGCAAGCGGCGAAGTTGTGGTGAATGCACGTATAGTTCCAGTCAAAATTTCAGTACTGTGGTGAGTAGTTATTTTCTTACGTATATATACGAGCCCTAACCACATAATGTTCGGACACTTCATAATTTATACAGAAATTTTTTTCGTGAATACTATCTCAAAATTATTAGAAGTTATGAAAAATTCAGCTTATTTTGGCATATACCCCTCGAAGCGATTTTTATTTTTAAAAAGTTTACCTTTTATTTTTAGCTTTTAAAAAAAGGCTAACTTTTTAACTTTTTTTTGTATGAGTAAAAAAAGTTATAAATGGACCCATTAAAAAGAGCATAAAATATTATACAAACCCTGAAAATTTGGTAAAAAATAAATAAGTTATAAAAAAGTATAAGTAATTTAAAAATGCTATTTTTAAAGAGTTTTTGCAATTTTCTTAGGAAACGGGAGATTTTGCAGATATATATATCGCTATAACTTTCTTATTATTTATACAATTTTTACCAAATTTTCAGGGTGTGTATAATATTTTATGTTCTTTTTAATGGGCCCATTTATAACTTTTTTTACTCATGCAAAAAAAAGTTAAAAAGTTAGCCTTTTTTTAAAAGCTAAAAATAAAAGGTAAACTTTTTAAAAATAAAAATCGCTTCGAGGGGTATATGCCAAAATAAGCTGAATTTTTCATAACTTCTAATAATTTTGAGATAGTATTCACGAAAAAAATTTCTGTATAAATTATGAAGTGTCCGAACATTATGTGGTTAGGGCTCGTATTTCATTGTAATGTATATAAGGCTAAGTGTGATTTGTTGATAAGTAGCATCCACTAATAAAAAATATCAGTAAAATACTTAATTCCGAATTATAATCTCAAATTTGTATCCCATTCATCAGTACCGTCTCGTCAGTTCCATGTTCGATGTTTCGGTTATCTTTTTTTCGCAAACTTCAATTTAAATTCTGCTTGCGCAGAACTTGTTTATTTAATGTCATTATTAACTCATATAAATTTGATGTGGATCCTGTATGGGGCAGTTAATTTTTAACATTTCTTAATTTATTATTTTAATACTCTACGAAATTTTAGACTGGTTCTAAATATTTACCTTAAAATTGTATAAACTGTTTATAAGTAACTTAAAATTTATACGGATTTTGTTTAGAGTATGTAATTTATATTTAACCTAGTTGTTAACACGTGATAAATAGATTGGCTTTAGCGTTAATTGTAGACCTACGTGTTGATGTCTTTAAGCATCCCATGATGCACTGGGGAGACTTGCCAAAACCGCACGTATGTCTAAGCTATATCAGTACATAGATTATTTTCTTACGTTCCAAACAAAACTATATCGATAGGCCTTTTGGCTTTGATAAAATAAACATAAAAAGAGCGTGTTAAAAACTTAGAGAAGACAGTATATTTTAGACAGTTACGTTTTGCTATTTGAAGGGACTAGATGAATTCTTTAAATTTGTGAAAGTGTTGTTCATTTAAATAGGTATTTTTTTCTATATATAATTGTTACAATCTAAGGTCACAAATATCATAATGAGTGGTTAATTATTTAATATTTAATTTAAACTATTTTATTATTATTATTTCAGCTTGTTCTTTGTGAAAGAAGGAATAAGCTGAATTGTTTTAATGGTTGTTGTGGGACAAACCAAATTACTTTATTTTAATCATTATTTTATGTTTATAATTATTATATTTATATTACATTTACTTTAACATATACTATACCACTTATTATTTATACCTATATTTTATTTACCACTACCATTTATTATTGTTGTTTGTGACCTAAGTTATATTATACTTTATGTTTCACATTATTGTTGCTTGTTGCTGTACATTGATAATTATTTCAATTTGTATTTGCTTTTCTACACCGTCCGAGCCTATTATTTATGTAGGTGAATAATCTTAGCAATATGATAATATAATGGATTATATTCATATTGATTAATTTGGTTTTGTTGTATTATTCATTTTGTTGAGATGTTTGACATATATGCATGTCTGTATTGTATGTATGAGTTTTTAAGGTTTTACCTTATTAACTTAAATCAATGATACTTTTCAAATACAAACGTTTTTATTTATATTATTAATGTACAGTAGCAAGAATATTAACTCTTGTATTAATTGCCTTTATGAATAAACCTATTTTAATTTAATACTTATTCTTTGCTTTTTAAATATCTTTTCAATTGCTCAAATACTTACGTATCCAGAACCGTATTCACAACAAAAAGGGGTCCTAAATTAATTTCTTTAAACTAGACGATCCCGTGTTTTGGCCAAAGGTAGTGTTTTTGTGGTTTTAATATTGTTTTCTAATTATTGCCCCGTTCGTTACAATCCCATATCTAATAATTGAGATATCGGTATACCCAAAATCCACCAGCCGCCACTGATGTGTGGTATTATTTGATTTTAAGATATTTAATGTATAATAGGCTCAAAGTTGCAATAAATCTTATATTTTCCAATAAATTAAGTATTTAATTAGTACCCTGGTATACTCGTCACTTCCCTTGCATTCGAATTTAGAAAACACAGATATTTCAGAAACTGTTTGAAAAAGTGACTGGCCCGGTCTGGAACAGTATATTTACTATATTATCTATGTTCTCATAACAAAATACTGTTTAATTTTCTCCGAAAACTATATAAACAAAATTAGGTCAAAAGTTGCCCAACTTTTGTAGAATCACCCATATTTTGTTTAGTTAACAGAATCTATGAAATTAGTTTGTTTTGTTGAGTTTCATTCGACTGTTTAATTAAGTGTAATTTAAAACCCAATTATGAAGGAAAATCCATTTATTTTTCAAAAAATTACATTTTATTCTGGTTTATTCTTCTACCAATTATACATATAAGAGATTAAAAATTATAACAAAAAATCCTAATCCAAAGATCTAATATTTATTCGTATAACAAGTATATATATTAACATCGTTTAAAACGCGATTTTACATGACGTTGACCAACGCTTCATCATACAGAAATTCCGCAGATTCTTCGTTTTGATTTAGCAGGCTGGATCTACGCCGGGAGGAAGACGAGCTGTCCATAAACGCATTCGAAGTAATATCTTCTTCTTCTTTCGTTGAGATACCGGAGTGCTTGCTTTGTATTTCGCTGGGTTGTTGCGAGCTGCTTTTATCGTGCTGCTCCGACTGTGAGCTTTTTGTTGAAGGGCCCCGTGAATCCATTTCAGACGGTTTGTTGAGTTTCTACCAAGACTTCGAACTGATCAAGCTGGTTTGTTCTGCGGAACTGATGCGGAGTTGGCGTGCTCGGCTGCTTATATACGCGCAGGGCCTTCTGGATATGGATTTTTTAAAACGTAAACATGTTTATGTTGACAATGCGTCGCAATTAAAAATATAACTGTGCTAAATTAAGGTATACTTTGATGAAAATTAAGGAATGTTTCAAGATTTATAGGGTTTTTAACGATTCAAAATAAGAATTATAAAGGGTGTTTAAAAAATATGCGCCAGTGCTCGACTGGAAATTCTTCGTCCAAAAATAAGACAAAAATTCATATAAACGGCTTTTTAATACTTTGGGATAATATTTTAACATTGCACACTTTTTTCTGTATATAGGTACATATATTTGTATGATTTTTAGTTTATAAAAATATTATCTGATTATCATCATTATCTTAAAATCCTTAAATTTTATTAAACTTTTTAATCGGAATTTGAACGTATTAGTTTCCATTTAAACAAGTTTTCGGAGAAAAATCTTAACCAGCTAATTTTTAAAGAAAACCTTAATTTAAATTAAATTTTCACGTGAAAATGATGATTTTTTATTTTTGGTTGCTTTACTGTTAGTCTAGAATGGGGTTTTAGGGAAGGCACCAGGTCTAGTAATAACATAAGTGGTTCTAAACTAATGCAAGAATTTTAAGAAATAAAACATTTTAAATATTAGAGCTTCACGGATGTTAGGATTTCGTATGTTTTTTTAAACATTCCTTTGTATATTTGAAATAAGTTATTGTATCTTTTGACACCTTAATATTTTTTAAAAATACAATTGCAATTATATCTTATATATAGGTACATGTATATAGGATAAAATATTTATAAAAAAAATCTACTTACTGCAGTAACGTTACTCATGAGATATTACACTTCACGGTGGATAGGTTTTAAAATAGCAAATTAATGAACTTAAACTTTTGAATTACCTATAAAACAGCAACACTCTCATCTGCATATAAATTCTAACTGACCTTCAGGAATCACATGCATCTATAATGTCGTAAACAGAGGTTTTTGCTTATTTAAAATGATTAAAGCGCCATCCGTTGCATAAAATTTAAAGCATAAACTGATTCACGGAGGATAGAATCAATTACTGTTACACCTACATATATGTTATATGTTATAACTGGTTATAAAAATTATTTCTTTTAATGTTTAATAATATGTTATATTTGATTCGATTGCTTTGGATGTGTTTAATTTACTTAGTGAACTGATATTTTCAGTATGCTTTTGCTACCTCAAATATTTGAAAACATATAGGTTAACCTAGAAAGAGTAACAGTCACGGAGGATAGGTTTTAGACTTTTAAAACATTGTAAAAAATATTTAGTTGCGGTTAAAAATGTGGAACCTTAGCTGTAATATCTACTTAATTATGAAAGATCAAAACACAATTTAATTAAAGTCTTCAGCAGAACTACCATCTTTTAAAAATGTACTAAATCAAAGTGGCATAACCTACCAACTTAATAATAAAAAATGATCTGTATATTGGCGCCCATCAATTTCAAATCTTTCTAATTTGGTTTGATCTGTGATTTGCAGAACCTTTTCCCGCCGAATAAAATGGACTAATGAGAACATAATTTGTAATTTGTCTTTTGTGGGGCGGTTTATTTAAAAAATAAAACAAACAAAAAATGTAGGTAGGTATATTTATTTAATGTAGTCGCAAAATGAATACCTGAAAAGTATTAAATTTGGTGTTCGAAGTACAATGCATTCTGTAAAAAAATTAAATCGATTAGTAAAAATAAACACCCTCTAATATATAAATATTAGTTACAATTAAGAAGGAGGCTCCCAGCAAAACAGCTTTCATGCTCACATCCAGGTCCATGGGGAAGGTGATCCCAAACTTTTCAACATTCACGCGTGAAGCTGATTCATACCAAGAGATTTTGCCCAACTGAGCGCTGCCATCTGCTGACATTATTTTGAACTCGACGGAACCGCAGCAAAGGTTTTTACGAAACGGGCCCTCGATTCTCAAAACCGTTTCGCCGGTGGCATTTTTGACGGCGTATTTCGGCAGGAAGATGCTCCATTCTTCGTCGACTATACCCGCAACGATTCCCGGGGAAGATAAGACTTCGATGCTCTGCATGCAACATGGGAAACAGCACAATCCATTGTGGATTGTGGGAAACAGCACCCCTGGCAGGCAAGCGGCCGATAAAAATGTATCGCTTCGTTTTTGTATTTATCAAAAATCTTCATGTCAAACGGTCGAAGTCCTGCCAAAAGGGAGCCTTCAGAGTCTTCTTCAGCGTAATATACATTTTGGCCACGGCTGTTTTTTATTATGAATCCGTCTAAAAAGAAGCAGGGTACAGCCAAAGAAAATACGCAGCCCGCGCGCCATCTAGTGGACTTCAAAAGCATTGCGTGAATTTAAGAATAGTCAACAATACATTTAAACTTCTTTAGCCTATACCCGCTGGAATTTGAGTTTAAATGAAATAAATGCACTGAGAAAAAGAAATATTTATTATTAAGAAATCAAAACAGTTGCGATTTTTTTAAAATATATGTTAACTATTAAAAAAATTCTTAATCGTGAACAAATTATATACTCATTATTATAACATCGTCCGGTGATTGTGTTTCAGACAAATAAAGGATAAAGTTGTCTTAGAACTGTGATATATTAACAGTTAATATAAGTACCTAAATTCGAATAAAACGTTTTAACATTTGTCAACATAATTTTAAATGCAATATGCGCAAGCATGTGACGTTGCCGTAGTTTTTTACAAAATGGAATTTCGATATATTAACAGTTAATATATCTACATTTGCTAATACGTTATGAGCTTCTTTAATTCAACTTAACCAGTTCTTAGACCCAAATTAATATTTCTTTCGCCATATCCAACTCAACGATATGTTAATAGTTAACGTGCCTCGTTATTAATAAATATTTCTTTCTCTCAGTGTGTTACATACCTTTCGAAAGGTCTACCGCGTAAATATTCTGAACCAGTAGTTGATCAACCATAGTAAGGGATTCCAGTCCTCGTGGACAATTGGGAATCTCTTGCGGCAAATTCATCCATTCTCCTTAGAATATCAGAGTAGTATTAGAGTATCAAGAACAATATACACTCACGTGCAAAAAAATCGATCCACACAAATTTTCGATGAATTTCAATCGCAAATAACTTTTTTATTTGATGTCGGATTTAAACAAATATTAAA